CGGGCGCCGAGGGAGCTCTTCCTCTGAGCTGTCTGCTCAGCTCCCTCGCGTGCCGCCCGCAAAGTGAGGCTGGGAGCCGGAATATGACGACATATTCCGGCTCCCAGCCTCACTTTGCGGGCGGCGTGCGAGGGAACTGAGCAGACAGCTCAGAGGACCCCCAGGGAGAGAGGGACCGCCCCCAGCATTCCCAAAGGTAAGGAGTCTGGGGAGGGTTAAATTAAAAAAAAGTGTTAATGTGAGTGATTGTGTGTGTGTGTGTGTGTCTCTGACTGTGTGTGTGTGTCTGACTGTCTGTGTGTGACTGTGTGTGTGTGCCTGTGTGTGTCTGACTGTGTGTGTGTGTGTGTGTGTCTGACTTTGTGTGTGTGTGACTGTGTGTGTCTGACTGTGTCAGTGGTGTATCCTGGTTTTGTGCTGCCCTAGGCAGGACAAAACTCAGGCGCCCCACTCCCCCCGCGCCCCCCACCCAACCCTCCCCCCCGCCCCACCTTCTAAATACACACACACAGTCAGACACAAACACACACACACAGTCAGACACATACACAAACACACACACAGTCAGAGACACACACAGTCAGACACAAACACATACACAGTCAGACACAAACACACAGTCAGACACACAGTCGGACACATACACAAACACACACACAGACAGACACAAACACAGTCAGACACAAACACACACACAAACACACACACACAGTCAGACACATACACACACACAGTCAGACACATACACAGACACAAACACACACACAGTCAGACACACAGACAAACACACACACACACACTCACAAACACAGTCAGACACATACACACACAGTCATACACATACACAGACACAAACAGTCACACACACACAAACACAGTCAGACACAAACACACACACACAGTCATACACATACACAGACACAGTCAGACACAAACACACACACACACATTAACTTTTTTTTTTAATTTAAATCCCCCCCCAACCTCCTTACCTTTGGGAGTGCTGGGGGGGGTCTCTCTCCCTGGTGGTCCGGTGGCTGCAGGTCGGGCGGGCGGCGCTGGCAGGCGGGCGGCTGGCGAGGGAGCACTTCCTATGAGCTGATTGCTCAGCTCCCTCGCGCGCCGGCTGCAGAGTGAGGCTGGGAGCCGGAATATGACGTCATCTTCCGGCTCCCAGCCTCACTCTGCGGCGCGCGAGGGAGCTGAGCAGACAGCTCATAGGAAGTGCTCCCTCGCCAGCCGCCCGCCTGCCAGCGCCGCCCGCCCGCTCGGGATGTCTGTTAGCCGCAAGGCTAACTAGGCATTTGCCCTGGGCATTTGGGGGGGCGGCGTTTTTTGCCGCCCCCTGAAAAATGCCGCCCAAGGCAAATGCCTTGTTTGCCTCGCGGCTAATACGCCCCTGGACTGTGTGTGTGTGTGTGTGTTTGTCTGACTTTGTGTGTGTTTGTCTGACTGTGTGTGTGTGTGTCTGACTGTGTGTGTGTATTTAGAAGGTGGGGCGGGTGGGAAGGGATGGGTGGGGGTGGCGCGGGGGGAGGGGGACGCCTGAGTTGTGTCCTGCCTAGGGCAGCACAAAACCAAGAAACACCACTGAATACCGGTCTATGTGTGATCCTAAGGTTATGTGGAAAGGGGCACTCATTCAACAGCATGACAGCATACTGGTGAAACTAACTTATTAACACATTCTGTGGTTTCCAGTGTAAGAGAGGCATACTGCTTGAGGTAGTTGTGGGTATTAAAACTACCATATTTCCAGCAGCACCAACACCAAAACCCCAAATCAGAAGAGTGGAGCAGCTAAGTTTTGGCTTAATGCTGTTAGAGGTTTCTACGCAGAAAGTGAATCGACAAGCAGCCAAATGGTCAACCTCTGAAATGGTCAAACTTACCTGTGTGAATGTGCTTTTACTCCTGCTGAAGACCCTCAGAGCTACTGGGATGAGGAGAAGAGTGTGTGGCCAGCAGCTTTTGTCATGTCTACTGACTAGTGCCCAGAGTGAGTGAGTGTTTTCTATAACAGGGAACATTCTGAATCCCCTGAATTCCCTTCAATGTTAATTCAAATTCGCTTGCTGCTACTCTCCCCCCCTTTTTTCAAATGCCTTAATTTGTAGTGGTTTCACCCTTTCTGAATAAGAC